AAAAAGGACCTGGGGGTGGGCCCCTGCACTCCCAGGGAACCAGCCCCCGCTGGGCTCCCAAAAAGGCCCCCCCGTTTTCCCCCAGAGCCCCCCGAGAAAAGGGGGGCCCCCCCATTTTTACTAAACCCTAAACCCGGGGGGACGGACCGGGAAAACAAGGAAACCCCCCAGCCACCGGGCACGGAGCCGACCCACCCCCCCCCCCCCCCGTCCTGTCCATTTCCCAAAAAAAAAAAAATAAAAAAAAAAAAATAAATAAATAAATAAAAGATAAATAAAAAAAAAATTTTTAAAAAAAAATAAATAAAAAAATAAAAAAAAAAAAAATAAAAAATAATAAAAAAAAAAAAAAATAAAAAAAATAAATAAAAAAAAAAAAAATATAAAAGGAGATAAGAAAAAAAAAAATAAAAAAAAATAAATAAATTGAATAAGGGGAAAGGGGCCCAAACCCAGCCGGGCCCGCCCAACCCCGCAACACGCAACCCCCCCCCGCCCGGGGCGAAGCCCCCCAACCAGGGGGAGCACGGAAGACCAAAGGGCCAAAGACAGGGGGCCAGACCCCAAAACCCTCCCAAAGATCTTCTTCCCTTTTAAGTCACCAAACCCCCCCACCCCCCCTCCGGGGATGTAAAACCCTCCCCCTACAATAAAAATCAAGGCTACCCCACACAAGGGGACAGAAGACAACCAGGCCGAGATCATACCTACCCCCCTCCCCCCCCTTCCCCCTTACAGAGTGCAAAAACCCCCCAGGGGGTAAGCACTTGCCATAGGTTTAAGCCATTTGGGCCCCCCCCCCCGCCCCGCAAACCCCCCAGGGACCCCGGGACACCAGGCCGTGGGGAGCAGGGACAGGGCAAACCCGGCCTAAAACCGGCCCAGAACCCAAGCAGCACTCCCCACAAACCCCAACCCTCCGAAAACCCCAAACCCGGGGGCCCCCCCCAAGGGCAATGCGCCCCCGGGGCCCCGGCCCAAGGAGCCAAACCCCCGACCCACCCCGCAAAAGGGCCCCGGGGGAAAGCCCAAAAACCCCCCGGGAAACCGGGGGCCAGCACCCCCAACCCCCGGGCCCCCGGGCCCCCAACGACTCCCCCCAACCCGGCCCCACACAAAAAATCCGAAGAAGAAGAAAAACCCAAAACAACACAGCTAAAACGCAAAACCCCAGCCCCACTTTCCAAAAACCCCGATCCCCCCCCCGCCCAAAAACCCCCCCTCCCCCCCCACACAAAAAAAAAACAAAAACCCCAAAAAAAAAAAATTATAATATTCTCCCCTCACCGGAGAAAACCCCCAAACAAAAACCCTGCCCCCAAAACCCACCCCCGCCACACCACGAGACCCCCTCCAACCCCCAAGCTCCCCCCCAGAAAAATTTAAAAATGGGCCCGCCCCCCCCCAGGGGAAAAAGGCCCAAACCCCCCCGAACAGGGAAACCCCCCCGGGAGCGCCAAACCCCCGGCAGCGGGGGCCCCCAGCAACCCCAAAAAAACAACACCGGAAGCCGACAAAAGGGCAACCGCGGGCCCCCCAACCCAAGGGCCCCCCGGCGGCCCCTTTCCCCCCCCCAAAAACCCCAAAGAAACCAAACCCCCCCCCCACCGACCACAAACAAAAAACAGCCCAAGGGAAAGCAAAGGACCCCGAGCAGCCCCACCCGGCGCACGCCAAAAGCCAGAGGCAGCCCAAAGGGCCCCCCCACCCCAGAAAAACCGGGACAAGCAGCAAAAAAAAAAGCAGCAAAACGCGACCCCCCACCACCCCCCCGCCGCGCCCGGGCGCGAAAGCACACAAACCCCAAACCCCGCCCCGGCCCCGCACCGCCCACAGGCCCCGAGAGGAGGACGGGCCAAACCCCGGGCCCCGGCCCCTCCCCCCCCCCCGCCGCCAAACACCCCCAGCAAACCCCCCACTCCCAAACCGCCCCACGATGCACCGGGACCACGCCCAACCAAGGGACCCCCCCCAACAAGCGAAGCCCACCCCCACCCGGGGGCCCCCGTCCAAAAGGGACCCCCCCAACGCCCCCCAACCCCCCCCCACAACAGAAAACCAAAAACGAACCCCGGCCACAGGGAGCGACCACCCCCCCCCCCCCCGGACGAAAGCAACCAAAAACAACACCCGGGCCCAAACCCCCAAACCACGGCAAACCGGGAAAACAGGCAAACCCCCCACGCCCCGCAGAGCAGAAGCACCCCGGCCAACACCACAAAAGAACCGATCCCGGCGCCCAGCCCCACCCAGCACAGCCCAGCCACCAGGGCCCTAACCCCCCCTCCCCCCCCCGCCACCACGGAACCCCCCCAAAAAGCAAAACCCCCGCGGCCCCCCCCGCAGGACCCCCCCCGCGGGCCCCCCCCCAACCCCGCCCCGACGGGGGGGAAAAAGTCCCCCGGGCCAGACCCCCAGGACCCCCACGCTTTCCCAGCACCCCCCCAGCCCCCCCAGACCCAAGGAAACCCCCAAACTAGCCCCCCCCCCGCCCCCAAAAAGAAAGCAAACCCCCTAGCCCCCCACAAAACCCAAGTGATGGAGGGCCCATCAAGGGGGCCCCGAGAGATCGGCTGAAGGGGGGGGGCAATGCGTCTCAAGTTTTTAAAATAAAACCCAAAAACAGACCTGTAAATGATTGGGTGTTTTAGTTTATCCTTTCTCTTCCAATTTTATGAGGAAAAGTTTTCTTTTCGATACATAATGCAGTGAATGCCAACAAAAACCCATTTTTTTCCCCTAGAGCTTCCCTCAAAGTCACCCAGCAAGCAAACGAAGGGGAAAATTTGGATTTTACAACCCAGGCACAGTGATAGATCCCCTTTCATTCCTTACCCAGAATCTCTGAACCGGCGTGCATAACCATAGCGCGTGAAAATAATTATCAAGTCGATTGCCTGTGCACTGTGGACAGATGTTAGATTGCGCAAAACCCATCTTGAATAATCTTTGACCTGTATAGTGCACTCTGTGGAGGATTTTGTATTGTATTAATTGTAAATTGGGGTTTCTGGTCATGTTAAAAGTTCTTAGACATATCTGAGCCCAGATGTTTTGTTCAAAGCTGACTGATAAATCCTCCTCCCATTTAGTAATAGGAAGAGATATTGTATCATCCAGTTTAGTCAGTGTCCTGTATAACTTAGACAGTAGTTTGGGGGGGGGTTAACTCTAGAAACTCTGATATTTTAGTTGGAATTATTAAACCTCCATCAATATGCTTAAATTTATTTCTAATTATAGCTTTGATTTGCTCATATTCTAAGAATTTATTTTTGTTAATGCCATATTGCAAATTTAATCTAGCGAATGTGATAAACTCCGTACCTTCAAACAAATGATCCAGATATGTAATACCTTTATTCTTCCAGTACGGAAAGTTTATCACATTATTGTTTTGTAGAATGTCAGGGTTATTCCAGATGGGTGTACGACTGCACGGGATAAGTGATGAGTTCGTTATTTTTAGAAATTCCCACCATGCTGTCAGGGAAGAGCTGATGTTAATATTTTTGAAACATGGGTGCCGTTTGATCTTAGAGCTAATAAACGGCAAATCTGAGATTATTATATTACTGCATATATCCTGTTCTGTGTCTATCCAGGGCTCATCTAAGGGATTATGTTTTATCCATTTAGAGATGTATTGTAATCTATTTGCTAAATAGTAGTATTGGAAGTTAGGTAAATCTAGTCCCCCTCTGTCTTTAGTTTTCTGTAGTGTTTTTAAGCTGATACGAGGGGGTTTGTCCTTCCAAAGAAATTTAGAGATGGAAGAATCTAGAGATTTAAACCATTCGGTTGATGGTTTATTTGGGATAATTGAAAATAGGTAGTTAATTCTGGGTAAGACCATCATTTTAATTGAGGCTACCCGACCCAAAAGGGAGATCGGAAGCGATTTCCATCTTTCTAGGTCCTCTTCTATTTTCATTAAAAGAGGGGTGTGGTTGAGTTTCCTCTAAGGGCTGTGTCCTGAGCCCACTCCTGCTCACTCCAATGACACACAACTGCATCCCCAGGTTAACCACCAAATACATTGTGAAGTTCGCATACGACACCACAGTGGTGAGCCTCATCAGAGACAACAACAAGCAGGACTACAGAGAAGAGGTGGACCAGCTGGTGGGCTGGTGCAGAGACAACAACCTGGTCCTGAATGTGGAAAAAACAAAGGAGATCATCGTTGACTTGAGGAAGAATCGGCCTAACCACGCTCCACCATTCATCAACAGCTCAGCTGTAGAGCTGGTCAGCAGGACCAAATTCCTGTGGGTGCACATCACAGACAATCTTACCTGGACAGTAAACACCACCTCACTGGTCAAAAGGGCACAAAAGCGCATGTACTTCCTGCAGAGGATGAGGAGAAAATCACAATCTGGAAGACTCTGATCACCTTCACCCGAACCACCTGCAATGTCCCCTTCAGCTCCAGCCAATCAACTCAAGGGCTGCACCTTCTCCAAAACCAATCATCTTGCGAGATCCCCTTCATTTAGCTCCTGCCCCAGCTTCTATCCTCCACACGAAAGCACGCTTTCACCCACCTCCGAACCATCTCCTCCCTCACTCTTAGTCCCACTTACCCCCTGGCTTATTTCACTACCAGTGTCCGGGCCCCAGGGGAAGCCTGATCTAACACTTTTCTCAGTTACCCATCCAAGCTTTTGTTGATTCACAGCATCAAAGTCTTCTGTCTGGGCCTGAGCGCCAAATAACTTAGCCTGGTTCTGCTAGAGGTTTCTTCCTGTTAAAAGGGAGATTTCCTCTCCACTGTTGCTGCATGCATGTTTAGTGTTTCTCTGTGAGTCTCTTCATGTTAAAATGTATTTTATATAAATTAAGGTTAAACATTGTTTTTCAATTGTCTTTTTTTATGAAGTCATAATTTGAAAACTGCTTTTTGGTTTTATTTAGGTTACTTTTAACTCATATTGAAATCTTTTTAATATAGACCATGTATCTGTGACAGAAAAGTGAAACTTTTTTCTTTACAGTCAACATAGACAGTTCGACGACACACAGTGTGGACATTTTACAAAGGACAGTGGGCATGACAACATCTGGTAAAGTATTGAAACAACAAATTACAATCTCTATTCCAACATACTTTTATAAATGTGTTTGCTTGTTATAGCTTATGTTGCAGCTTATGTTGGACCATCTTTCTCTCTGTCTTTCTATCTACATTTGTCTCTTTGTCTTGCCTTTTGTGGCAGAAGTATATCACTGACAATTATTTTGTGTTCATCTGCTTCATCTCATAATAGCCAACAGGCCTAAATCAGATAAAGCACTTTTTATAATTTTTTTTCTTTATACTTCATCAAATACACTGACTAAACTAAAGCTAAAAGCAGTGAAACTAAAAAAACCTCAAAGAATAGATTTAAATTAATTAACAGTTAAATAAATGGTTACAGAATTCTTTGTTTAGAGTAAATAGCAGTTTGAGATTAAATGGATAATTTGGTTAAAGAGGGATAAATTAGAGTACGAATGAAATTACCTGATTGACATCACAGCAAGGTTCTCACCAGTGCATTCCGGTGAAAGTTGTCAAAATGTGATTGAAATTATAACTTTTACAACGGACTTAAATGAGTGTAACTGCTGCGGAAAAGGGGTTGTAAAACCTATTAACCTTCCTAATCTACCCATGTGAGAGAGAAACCTATCAGTTTGAGGAAAGTGAGTCGTCCATCCATCCATTTTCAGTCACGTTTATCACTACTGGTGCGGGAGAGGTGCTGGTGCCTATCTCCAGCTGTCTATGGGAGAAAGGCAGGGCACACCCTAGACAGGTTGTGTGGTGGTTTTCAATGGTAGAATGTCAAAAAATCAGGACACCTTCAGTCGATCATCTGATTGCCCCAGGACGGGAGAAGAAGCATTTATTTTATAGATCAAATTGACATGCTGTCCTCAGTACACGTAACACAGCGCTTAACCATCTGAACAGAATATATCTGTCTTTTCTCTCTTGCAAGTTCTCGACTCACATACCAATCCACAGAGCATTTATAGTCTCATCCTCGCACTATGTGTATGCACATGCACAACGGAATATTGCCGACATCTTACTGGAATCCACGTGTGCAGATTTGCGTCAAAGTCACTGCGACCCTCAAGGAATGTTTATACATGATGTTCTCTCTTTTTGCCAAACCCCCTCATGCAGCCTAGGAGACCATGCTGTTACTGAGACTTCCATTGCTGAGACAGTGTACAGCCATGCAACAAGTCTATATAAGGCAAATAGCCTGCTTCAACATTCCCCCCTGTAGTTCATTGCAGATGAAGTACTTTGTGATGTTGCATGGTGATGTGAATACTACGCGACTAATTGCACTTACATGTGTGTGAAATTCAAGTGAAAAAACAAAATCTTAGTGAGACCGACACTGTGTGGAATGGGTGTGAGTCGGGAAATATCACATAAAATGAAAATCAAATGAGTGACATTGTTAAAACAAAACTAAAGTGAATAATAAAACAAAGTGAATGCTACTGAACCTTCAAAGAAAGATCATCATTTTCCACATGGCCATGATTCGATTAGTATGGGATCGAAAACCCCTTTTTCGTCCTGTGGGCATCTTTCTCTTTCATTTCATACTCATTTAAGAGGAAACTATCCCATCGACCCATGCTTCCCCCAAACATCCAGCCTTCCTCCGGCGTCGGCCGCAGCACAAATCGCATCTTGACCATGCTACTCATGATGATCTGTGAAACCAACACTGTTTGAACCATTCAACCCAATCTTGATATTACTTAATATGTGAAGGATGACTATTCAAAACATTTCAAATAACTCAAACTTTAGTCAAAGTGTGTCGTAGTATATAAGGCTAGGTAAATGAAAGAAAAAAGAAAAATTAAGTTGGTCAGTCAGAAAAATTAAGTAGGTCAGTCAGTCAGTAATCTGAGTCCCCAGTCCTCTAAACAGCGGCCCATGTATGGTTTACCATGTAAAATAAGAAGACAGTAATACAGATTATAATGCAGAATAATAATGGCATAATACAGATCATAATGCAGGATAATGGAACGTTACATCCATGTTGTCATCAGGATTATTTTACTGAATGCAAAATTATTTATGCTGGTGATTTCTTCTTTTCTGTGAAAATCAAAAATATAGTTCTTTCACTTCAGGGCTCTGTCCTTGGCTTTTAAAGGCATGAACACAGGATCACCGGTTCCCGCCTTTAGTATTTTGCAGGCGGATGTCGAAGGTTTGCAGTGTGATGCCTGGGGTCACCTGGTCTTTACAATCCATCCCCTCAAAATGAGTGGAACAGAAAAACCACAATTAGTGTTCTTATCAGCAAATATCAACTAATCATAGACAATAATATTCATATTATTCCAATCCTATTGTAGTACATAGTGTTTGACTTATCTAATTCAATTGGAGAGGGATCCCATTCCCCCCTGTGATGCTTTCATCACATCTGGTCCTCTCTGTCGTCCATCTGCTGGTCGGTCCTTGGTGTTGCATTCTTTCGACGTGTAGCTAGAGTTCGCTGGTCCTCTTGTCTTGGTTGTCCTGGTCCCCTGGGCCTCTCATATCGTTCATCTGTCCATGGCTTATGTGGATCCAAAGTGAGGGCAGTCCTTTTCCCAGTGTCCTTAAATCTCACTATCAGATGTGATCCTGAGAGGAAAGAAAAAACTGACCAGTATCTTGAAACTAAATCTAGAGATGTAACACATCCTGTTTTTCATGAGTCCAGTTTCTGTAATTAATGTTCAAATTAAAATAAGAGAACTTTTGATAGTTGCAGTAATGTCCCATTGTCTCCTGGTGTATCTTCTCTCTTATCTGCAATTATTAATATTTCCAAATATCCTCCAATAATCTGTAAAATTTTAATCTCAGGGAATTAACCTTTCTGATAATACCAAAATAAATCATGTAACACGATTGTAGGACTTCAGATTGGACCTCAGGCCAAAACAACAAACAAATAGTCTATCTTTTGTAGGAATCATCTTACCTGTTTAAAGAAACATGAAATAAATTACAATCGTCTTACCTTCCTAAGATAACAAAAACAGGAGAAAACTTTACTCAAAGAAAATGGCAGTCCAATCCTACTGTGCAATCGGTGTTACAGCTTAAAAATGCTCCACAATTATTTCAGGAATCTTGTAATTTAAATACTTGTTAACACAGCTAAGTGTGACATAAATACAATGAAACTTCATCACCTTTTCTATTCCTCTGTAAGGTCCTTCTCATCACAGAGTTCCTGGGTCCTTTCCTCGAAGTGCATCAATCCCCAATTATATGTTAATGACACAAGGAAAGAAAAACAACATGAGTAAAATAATAATATGAATTTACAATGCGACCCTTAAACAGGTTCCTCTTACATGGGAATTAGATTATAGAAGAAAAGACAAGAAATAATATAGTCAAACCGCTCTCAGCTCTCAGGTGTTCTTCTCAGGCTCCATAGCGTACCGAGGATCAGCCATTTTGTCACAGGGTGTGGAGGCATCATCTGGGGGCAATTTGGTGATCCTTGCTCTAAAAAATTTTAAACACTGAAAATATTGTTCCTTATTATCTTAGCCTTCTGTTCCAATTTTGTTAACCAGGGTTTTCATGCACAAGAGTAGTAAGAAGTACTAAAGATTTTAGCAGCATAGTAATAATGAGAATAAAAGCAAAAATCCTTTTTCCTCTGGAAGCAAGTTGAGTGCCATCCTACATTATTTTTAAATACAATCTGCATTCTGGCTTTCTGTGCTTTATAACAACACTTGTAAAGACATCTAGACTAGGATTTATTGGACAGTTTATACGCTTGGATCACATATTCTCACATTTACATAATATTCCTGAATTCAAATCTTAAGGTCCTTTCCAGTTGTAAAGCCTGTTTTTATTCAGTGTTTTACTGTTAGAAATGTATTAAGTACATGTGTGACAATCTGCGTTACGTATTGGAGACAGAAATTATCATTAACTTTTCATCTTATTTGTATAAAGTCTGATTTCTAAATTAAACTAATCCTTGATCTTGCAATCTCTGCAGAGATAAATTTTTTACTTTTACTTCTTAGACTGTTCATCCTCTTATCAGATATTATTTGGCATACATATAGCCAGGAATGTAACCTTTTTAAGATTGTACGTTTCGTCTTGGATATTCATAAACAAGTTAGTGTGTCCACTTTAACCTTAATCATTCCTGTAGTTCTCTGCCAAGCTAGAAAAAATAAAAGGTTGTCTTCCTTTGGACTTTGAATGACTGTGTGCGGCAGTGCACAGAAGTTGTTTAATCAGACTGGAATGTGGAGTGACTGTTTCCTCTCTCCATGGAACAACCAAGAGAGAGGCGGACAGAAAAAATAAAGTATTAACATACTTTATTTGTCTTTGAGCTAGAACTGTCTTTAGTCTGTTTTAGCCTATAATCTGTTTTAAGTCTTTTGTCATCTGCATTTAGCATTCTGATTTGTTTCTATATTAATCTTTAGTGACGTAAACAGTTTTCATTCTACGCTTCACGTAGAATCATCTAATATAATGTAAAGCATAACTAACCTCTTACATCTATTAATATAATCGGTTCTTCACTTCTTGAACCAGATCTGCTTCTTTGTTCTGTTTCAAGCATTATTTGTTAGTTTCCTCAAAAGGATAACTTCCTCATATATTGAAGTAAATACATGTTGATTTTTACCTTTAGGATGTGAGAGTTTTATTTAAAATCCAAGTAATATTTTTACAAAAACATTTCAAACATTATTCTCTATTTCTGTATCTTATTGAGTAAACAGCTAGTCCTGATGCTGGGGAGAGAAAATCTCACTTCAATAAACATCCTGGTTTATTATTGTAAAACTAGTCTGAATGTTGATTTCTTAGTTTTACTTAAAGTTTTTCAGAGGTACATCTAGTGCATTATTTAAGGATTCATAGAATCTCTAATTTATGGAAATTCATTGTCTTTAAATACTTCATAGGCTTCTGCTGATTTAATTCTATTTTATTTTTATGTTGTAGACAGTCTTAATTTTAGTTTTCCTGATTTATTTACTTTTA